CAAGCAGACATGCCTCTGATTGGTGACTACATTCATCACAGATAAGGAAAGGGAAGGAAAAACAGCAATGACGCTGCAAGCTAAGCCCTACAACGTTCAATGGACTCCTGTGAACCCAGGTGGAGACCTGGTTGGCCAGCAGTGTTGTCAGACCTGGGAACTTTTGGGCACAGAGTCAGTGACATAGCCACAGAGGACTAGGGTGGAGAGTGAAGCGTCCAGCTGATAAGAAGAGAGGCATATGCATAAGAACACCCACACTTGCAGATAATACCCATTTGACCTGGCTTCAATGGCTGGATGATCAGAGCTCAACTAGAAGAAGAAAAGAAGAGGAAAAAAAGAGTAATCTGATACAATTTGATGAACTTAACCTACACTTATGGATGCAGTAGCTCAAAAGAGGGAACAAATCTTTACAGCAAGGATGATTTCCACTCCCATGCACCCATAAACAGAGTAGACATGGATGGGCAACCTGGACATTGGCTACCCAAAATGGGGGTGCTACAAAGGCAAAAGTGACTGGCTTCCAAGCTTTCAAGAGGGAGCCTAGACCCAGAGGGCACAGAGGAAGGTAGAATCTCAACTGATTAGTGTCCAATCTTCCTGGGTGAGACTGATGAAAGGAGATGTGGATAGGTCTCTTGTGATACAATAGTGAACAGTTGTTATCAGGATTGATTGTGAGGGTTGGAAATGTAAAGGTGGATGTTTTGTAGCAAAAGGAGGGGTGTGGTTGACATTGCAGTATAAGAGTGGAAGTCCCTGGGACCATCAAGGGAGAAGAGCGAAGAGCAGGATTGTACCCAGAGAAGCAGTGATGCCAGAGATAGAGGCAGAGATGATGACGCAGAGATAGAGCAGCTGGGGACTTTAGACCTAGAGAGGGAGAGGGGCTGTGTACAGACGACCAGGGGGCAGGCTTGCAGAGTATACCCTTTGGTTGGTTGATAATGCATGGAGGGGATTGTAACCGTGGCAATGAAAGTATATACGGTAGGATGAATGTAAAGCTAATGTTCTCCCATGTAAACTATCACATAATTCACAATAAAACATGTAAAAAAAACCCAGTATTTAAGATAGAAGGAATGTTTCCTAAATTCCTTAAAAAAAAAAAAATACACACAAGCTTGAGCATAAAAAAACATAAAAGACACTGAAAATAAATATCCAGAAAGTAGTGTTAACTGGAGTATTAAAAATATGACGCTTCCTCTATCTGCTTTTTATTTTTCATTATTTTCCAAGTTTTCTATGACTATTTCTTTCATAAACAATGTCAGTTGAACTCTTGAAGGTAAATGATGAATCTGTGCTCAGAGGGGTCTTTATAACATTCTCTGTACTTTTGTATATTTGCAACTTTCCGTAATAAAATGTTTTTAGAATGCAGATATATATATATAAACATAAATATGTGTGCTATATCTGTATTTTATATTATAAATTTAAAAAAAAAGAAGCAACAGACATATAAGCACACTGCCACAACTATAGGGAGGCACACCTGGAGTTAAGTGTACAGACTTTAAAAGTGTCAGCATATACAGAAAAAAACAGTATGATTTAGAGTGTAGGAGGGAGTTTATGGCATTTGATCTTGATACGTTATCATTTGTGAAGATGTTATACACCAACCTTTACTTTTCCCTCTTCCAGCTGAGCTTGGCGAAATCTTGCTAAGGCCGTCCTACGAGATAGAGAAGATGCCATTATATTCTGCTCACAGATTTCTTATCACCCAGGTTCCTGAATGGGGTAGACAGCTTATGGCCATATTTAACATATGAAGATCAAAGAGCACAGCCTTCAGTATGGATTGCATCTCAATGTAAAGAAAACAAAAATCCTCACCACTGGACCAATAAAGAGCATTCTTATCAATGGAGAAAAGATTGAAGTTGTCAAGGACTTCATTCTTCTTGGATCAACTATCAACACTC